TGGGTGCATTCAGTACCATAACCGCTCACTGAGCGCTTAGTGAGCTCTTGTATCTGTTTGGTCTATATTTTTAGTTCTAACGGAATATGCCAATCAGATGCAAGAGTTCACTGAGCGCTCAGTGAGCGGTTGTAGTACTGAATGCACCTATTGAAACGTAAGCAGTAAGGAAATCATAAGACTAGGTTCAGAACCTCGCTTTAAGGCCGGTATTCATAGTCAGATCTTAAATTTAAGTCCAGATCTACAATAGGTGTTTTAAGACTTAAGCTGTAAGAAATTGACCAATTACAGTCAAAACCGAGGGGAATAATCGACTGTAATTCGTCCATTTCTTATGGCTTAAGGCTTAAAACCCTATTGTAGATCCGGAGTATCATCCGGCCATCACACGTACAAAAATTTTAGTCGTAATTATAAGGCCGTAGGCAAATTGGCCAATCACAGTTGAGCGTTTAAAAGCGCGAGATCTTAATTTTGATTGTGATTGGTCGATTTGTTTGCGACCTTACGATTTCGATTAAAATTTTTGTACGTGTGATGGCCTAAAGACTGTCTTATGCGTGGTCTACAATGGGCAGTAGCAGTAGTGGATTAAGAAGTTGGCGTAGAAATCAACCAATCATAATCGAATGTGAGGAGAATAATCAACCATAATTGATCGATTTTTACGCCTACTTCTTAATCCACTACTGCTACTGCCCATTGTAGACCACGCATTAAGTTCAGCCTTGAGGTATCATGAACCAATCAGAGAGCCGCATTAGCGTTTTAAGACATTACTTAAAGCTGGTTCTACATTGATCGCATCGCAGCGTCGCAAGCGTGTTGCAGTCCAATCAGAGTCGAGCTAGCTTGACATTAATTGGACCGCAACACTTGCGATGCTGCGATGCGACTAATGTAGAACCAGCTTTTGACGGTCTTGAAATAAGAACCGATTATGAATACCGGCCGATTGACCAATCACAATTGAGTATGGGAAAAATAATCGACTGTGGTTGGTTAATTTCTTACGGCTTTGCGGCTTAGGACCTCTTAAAGCAAGGTTGTGGACCTAACCTAATATTGGATTCGCTATTGACAAGTAAGTAATCATGAATTTGACACTTTTCTAATTGAAATCAGTTGACACGTGTATGAACTGTGAAAAGTTGGATTAAACATAAAATTAAAAGATAAACAAGCAGTGATAATATATACCAATATACACGATGACGACGCAAGAAGTGAAGAGAAGTAAGAAAAAAAGCGCGCAGAAAGAAAGTATAACGCAGGAGGAAAACAAGGCAGAAAAACCGAGCAAACCCGTTGAATTGTGAGTGTAAAATTAAAAAATCTTGTACTGTCATTGATATTTATCGTATCTATCTTTCAGATTTTAATGTGTTACTATTATAATATTACTATTATATTATAAAAGCAAATACTCCGCTTTTTCTCTTTGCTACCATTGAAAACTCACCTAATTTATTTATAAAAGTGAAATAATGTCCATATATCAACTAACAACCTATTTTTAATCTTGTAGGAAATATGGACCTACTGTATCTTTTCCATATCAAAGAGTATGGTCTAGATGTGTTCTGATACTTGGAGTCTTGCTAATAGTTTGGTATAATAACAGACAGGGTAAAGAAGTATATCTAGCAAAGCAGAAAGACGTGTTGGTAAGTCGTACACAGAACGTTGACTGCTCTATGGATTATAGAGACGAGTTAGAAAACTACTCTGGCTGTATACCAGAAAAATGCGGCAGAGTTGTAACTGACAAACTCGTCTCGACAACAGAGGCAGATGTTTTACTGAGACTAGCGAAAAGTGGAATAGATTTGGCTGGATCTGATGGTGGCGCGAGTATTCTGGATCTTCATTCAGGCGCTCTTAGCAAGAGCCAAGGTTTTATCAATATCTATAAATTACCAGAAGCAAAGAAAATATTCAACAGTATAGATTCAGCAATTTATAAGTATGATTTTTGTTTATGTATAAATATTTTTTCTTTCGTGGAATAAATCTAGAGCAAAACATTCTTTGGTGTTTCAAATTGGACAACGCCTGTAATACGTTAATACTATAAATTGTTTATCTAAATTCCCTTATGATAAATGATAAATAAATAGATTTCTATCTCTCAAATTTGTAATTTCTGAAAATATATATATGCAAATTATTAAATATTGTTTTGTATATTTATCTGATTGTGAGATTGCATATTAAGAATAAGTAATTTAATATTGTATAATACATGTTATGTTCTTCCTTAATTTACAGGGTAGTGAAAACAAAAATACAACATGCTGTGGCGCATAATTTCGGCGTAGATATAAATAAGATTTATTTAACCAAACCTACCTTTTTCTCGCGGATGACTAATAAATCCGCAAAAACCATACATGACGAATACTGGCATCCACATATCGATAAGGTTTGTCTTGCGTCGTTATACATATTGTACTCTTTAACAATTAGAAAGTTTTGTTTTGTATATAATATAGAATTATAACAAAACTATATATTTCAGGAAACATACGAATCGTTTCATTACACAGCGTTACTATATTTAAATGATTTTAATAAAGATTTTGAAGGCGGTCGATTTATATTTATGGATAAGAATGATGTCAATACTACAGTAGAACCCAGAAAAGGTAAGGCGTTTACAATTTATAAATTAAATCTTCCAAAAAGATGAGATAAAATTTAGCAATATTTTCAGGCAGAGTATCAATTTTTACTTCAGGAAGCGAAAATTTACATCTAGTTGAAAAAGTGAAATCTGGTACTCGTTACGCTTTGACCGTGTCTTTCACATGCGATAAGAACGCCGCGATATCCGATCTAAGTTTTACCGCCGCATTAAATTAAAATTTATTTCATTACTTTTTTAGTTATCAAATACATAAATTCATTGATATTCATATAAAGAAAATATCATACGAATCGTAAAAATATAGAAGATATTTTCATTCATAAATTTTTTTTACAAATGGCACAATTGAACAGTATTATAATAGTATGGTAAAGGAAAATAAGTAAAGTATTACTCGTATAAATTTGTTTTTGAAAATATATTTAAGTAATCTGAGAATTTAGAATGTTGATATATTGGATATAAATTTATTATTTATCTGTACACACACAATTATTTTTGCTTATAATAATATATTACGTTATAATATATAAGCAAGAAAAAGAAGAGAGAGAATGTACATGTTAAATTATTTTAAAGTGAAGTTTGTGAAAAATACATTTTTTCGTTGGAATGAACTTGTAATTATTAATGGAATGAAACGTGTAATGTGTTACATACTATGAGAAAACTTTATAATAGCTGAGATAATGTTTATCGAGTATATTTTAATAGTAAGAATTTAATAAAAACGATAAAGGTTTTTAATTAATAATTAAGAATCATATCAAGTGTAACGTTTCGATATATTTTATGGTTGCTTATTACTTCATCATTGTATTATATGATGAAAAGCTCTAAATTAAAAGACTCTAATTGTAAGTTAAAAATAATGAGATCAACCCGTTTAAAATATCTATTTTAATTAACAGGAAGAGAGTAATGAAAATCAATTTTTAATATACAGGATAATTATTAATATACATATAAATAAATAGCAATGTTGTGTCCACTATTAACATAAAGTAAATAAAGGACATTTAATTTGCCCATTTTGGGAATTATAACAAACATTCTTATACGTAATCCTAAAATTAACTCTCAAACTTAAAAATTACAAAATTTTTGCATTTTGTGAATAAATGGTAACATACAGATTTACTATTCTAAAAAGCTTTGTTTATTTTTGTTGTTTTTTGCTTGTTTTTCATTTTGTACGATTCAATTGCTTGCAAACAATTTAGACCAGCTAGAATAATGAAGTGAGATGTATACGAGAAAGATTTTTGCAAATTATTAATCATGTCAATTCGTACAGCACAAAATTTTTTGTTACAGTGTAGCAATATAATGTGTCGTACTTGCAATAGATTGCAATTTTTAAATAAGACATTTATGTACAACTGCAACTTCTCTGTACTATGGAAAATATTAAGTTCTATCGGCAACGCGGCATGTGTGCCACGTAATCATTTTCAAATATAATAAAACTTAAAATACGGATGTTCTTCCGCAAGCTACACTCGTAAGAAACTTGCGATTCTCTTTGCACTTTCTCCCAACAGTATCGTCCTGTGATTACCATACACCTCTTCTATTCTTAAGGGTTGTGTGCAAACCTGAAAAGAAGAAGAAAAAGATAAAATATTCAATATTTTAAATATGAATTCCATACAAATAGTGAAGAAGATTAAAATTTAAGGAATTTATTAACTTTTAATAAAGTTGTGTATACGAGAGTAAGTAAGTAATATTACACTGTAACTGTACTAATGTACGGTTGAGAAATTTTTTTTCATCAATTTTTCATTTTTGGATGTAGTTATTATGATACAATATTCATCAAATATGTTTGATTAAAATTATATTAAAATATCAAAATAAAATTTGACTTCAAACTTGCAGTTACAATGCTATAAAAAGGAACTTAATTATTGAAAATATTAAAGAACTTTAATATAAAAAAGATAGGACAAAAAAGATGAAACTCTTACATTCGATAAACCGTAATCCTTTTCTAAATGTAAGAAATTTTCTGCAGCCTTAATCAGTGTGACCGGTCCTTTGATCTTTTTATTGGGATCATAGATTACAGCAGCCGCTAATTTTTTGAATAAAAGATATCCGGCTATTTTCAGATCATCTTGTACAAACGGCGTATTACCTATCACTTCTATCATCTTATCAAACATTTCCACATCCGAATTACTTTGCTTCAAATATTCATACGCCTGAAATAAAACGTAAATTGTAAATCTAATATTTTATATTAGTTTTATATATTTTAGATATTAGTTTTATATTTAAATGTTAGTAAATTAATAGTATTATAAATTATAATTATAGTTATAATCTCATTTTTGTTTAGACTTTAACAAGACGCGATACATGCTTTAGATGTTTCTTGTTACTTGTGCTTCTCTCTGCGCGCGTGCGCGCGCGCGCGCGCGCGCATGTGTGTGTGTCTTTATTCATATATTATTTAAGGTAAACGAAGATGAATAGGGCAGATAGAATACTATTATATGTTACCTACTTGAGTAAAACTGATAGTTTTGTTAAATTGTATGATGAAGTATGCTAACGCTTTCATACAGCCTTCAGAAGTAATATTTTTCATTTCTTCTAGTTTACCAATCATATCACACTGCTGTCGTACGAATGCCAGTGAACCATCGATAAGATTCAGAATCACATTTTCTCCAGCGGATTCCAATTGCAGAGTCATTTCAATGGCGACGCAAGTTCCGTACGAGTATGCTGCCAAGTGATATGGTCCTTTTTTTTGAACTTTTCTAATAGTATTCACATAGAACTCAGCCAACTCTGAGATCGTTTCGTGAGGCGCCTGTTCAATGCTCTGCAAACCCCAACACGGCCTGTCGAGTTCGCTAGCCACATATTCTAATGGTTTAATAAGACCTTCGATACCATGAATGGTAAATAATATCGGTCCGTTGGAACTTTTTGTTTTCAAGCGAACGAGGGCCTCTTTAGGCAACACTTCGTTGCTCGGCCATTGCATCAGCATGTCGAGCGACAGGTTTGAGTCCGTAACAGTGGTTACATTCGCAGCAAGAGATTGCTGGTCTTTCACTATCTCATCAGTCGAAGATAATTCTTGCAGTTTGGCGAAAGTTAAGACACGGATCTCTTGAGCTGACAACACGATATCGTAGTTTCTTTCGAGGGTCTGTTTTATCTCCGTGCCCATCAACGAGTCCATACCCAAGTCGGCCAAACTATTGTTGGGATTAACCGTATTAACATCTTTAACGCCTAGGATATTAGCAATGGTTGCGATGAGGTTGGCCTTATTGTCGTCATCTGTTTTATGTTTTTCAGCTAACACCGAGGATGCGAGCACCGGGTGCGGTTGTTGAAGGAATATATCCATTGTCGCAAGACAACTCGACATATGTTGTGGTAGAGTACCGCCCACTTCGGTATCATTACCTCCCATCGTTTCTGAAAAGATAATATCGCGTAAGAGAAACTGTGATTTTTTATATATTTATATATATATGTGTATATATATATATCGTACAATAAATCTAGAACAAATATGCAAATGTGCATCATCTGTTCTATATCATTCTTACTGTCTTATGCAATAATACTTTTTATAAGAGGCATAAAATAAGATTGAATTGACAAAACTAAAGAAAAGGCAGGTTGGAAAAATTTGAAAGTAATTCATTCAAGAACAGCTATTTGATTGAGAGAAAGTTTAGATCTTTTTTCGGAAAATTTCATATATTACCGATAATTAAACCAACGTCTCCGATAGCACCCCATTGAATGGCGAGACCGGGTAAGCCATTAGCCTGCCTTTCTTCCATTATTCTCTCCATGGTAGAATTTGCGCAACCGTAGTTGGTTTGACCCATATTGCCACGACCGCACGATACGGATGAGAACACCACAAAGTAATCTAGCGATGGGCAGAGCTTCCTTGATACCACATCTAAATTCCTTGTAACATCGACTTTAGGTAAAATGACTGTTTTAAAATCGGCTTCATTCAAATTTTCGATCAGAGCATCACGTAGTACGACTGCCAGATTAAATATACCGCCTACTGGAGCCAACCGGTTGCTTTCTTGAATTAAACGTTGGGTACCCGATAATGTTGTAACATCCGCGGTAAAGATGACGATTTTTACGCCGTTTTCACGCCAGCGACGCACACATAATGCCTGGTAACCGGTGCGTATGCCTGAGCGCGATACGAGAATAATGAATTTAGCGCCACGAGCGACCATCCAATCAGTCAGTTCTAGACCGAATCCACCGAGACCGCCAACCAGTACATACGATTTCTCCGGATTTATGTAAGTACGCGGAATCGCGGCTACTGTCTTCGGTGTTGGTAATATACGTTTCTTTGATTCCTCATCACGGATTTTCAGTAACACTTTGCCGATGTGCTTGCCTGTCGCCATGAATCTGAATCCTTGCTCGAGCTGTTGCTCCGAAAATACGGTCGATTGGAGAGGACGTACCGCGCCATTCTTGATTCCTTCCGAAACGAATTTTATCAGTTCCTTCTTTTCTACGCTATCTTCTCCAAATAGTCCATCCAACAATATACCGTGAAAAGACGTATTTTTCAAAAACATTGACATCCCTACGCGACTGTCATTCGACAAATCGTACTTGCCGATTTCAAGGAAACGGCCACCAAACGCGAGGCACCGAATGCCGGCTTGCAATTTCTCCTCTGCCAGTGAATTTAGCACGACGTCGACTCCACGTCCTTGCGTCTCGGCACGTATTAGTTGTTCGAAACTCGTATCTCGAGAATTACCGATATGCTTGTCGTTCAACTGCGGAAAGACTTTCTTGAGATATTCTCTCTTTTCTAATGTGCCGACGGTAGTGAAGACGGTACAACCAGCATGCAGAGCAATGGCGATCGCTGCTTGACCAACACCGCCTGTACCAGCGTGGATTAACACGCTTTCGCCTGCTTTCAATCGACCCCGTATAAACAGAGCATAGTAACTAGTTGCATAAGCGACAGGTATCGTTGCTGCCTGTTCCAAGGTCCACTTGTCGGGTACTTCCCAAAGGAAATCAAGATCTGCTAATACAGTAGTCGCTAACCCTTTAGCTTCAACTATGCCCATCACACGACGACCGTTAGCGTCTCTCCCGGAAAATTCGAGTCCTAATATACACTCTTCCGTAGCCATATTCCTTGGCAGAGCGTCTGGTGGTAATTTGCCACTCGCCAACATGATATCCCTGTATAATTTGTATAATTTATTTTTATTTGTGTTGTGGCCTTTATTATCTAAATTACCAATAAACGATATTCATTGAAAGTTACCTAAAGTTCAGTGGAGCATAATACACGCTGCAAAGTTTCATATTAGAAGAATTGTCGGGCCGGTAATAACTTAATGGGCCTTCGATCCACCTCAAGCTACTGAGGTCTCCCCTTGTCAATGTGTTGACATAGGCATGCTCTACCTGCAGGGAAGACACATTGTTCTGTTGATCTAATGGCAAGTGTCGATAACTGCCCCATTGTCCTCCTTTTAACACGTTAGCCATCAATCCTTTGTCCAACTGTTCCACATAAAACCGTGCAGATAAGTCAAACTTGGGAGCGCTCTTATCCTGGATAAAAACATAGCGTGCATTTGCACCGCCTGTCTCGCGTCGTATACAAGTCATAAGTCCAACCAAGCCTATGAACAAAAAGTGATGAGACATTCTTTCGATCTGTGTTTGTATTTTGATCCTCATATAGGACAAATAAAGAAGTGAATCGAAAGTACGAAATAATTTTTTCTGTAATCTTACCAAGCGTTTCTTCGCCCTGGGATACAAGAAGCAGTTCTTGACCGTCGCTGTCAGATTTCTTCAGTGCTGCTTTTACACTCTCCAGCCATGAGAGATTTTTCTCTGTGATTTGTATTACTGTCGGTTCTCTTCTTTCTTCTCGCTTCTTCAGCAACAAGTAAGTCTTTCCTATGGGATCGATTTGTTTTCCGGCCAATGTTAAATCAGTTTCCTTCAATGCGGTCTTCAAATCTAGATGCGCAGCGGTCTCCTCCAGAAGGATGAAACAGCCAGGTTTTAAGGCAGCCACTAAATTCTTGAGAACGGTGTAAGACTGATTGGACAAGACGTCTGCCGCTATGATAAGGTGTACATCTTGAGCGGGAGGTATATTGTTCACGTCTCGTATCACGACATCAGCGTTCACATTCATTTGACTTAAACTCGCCGTGTAATTATCAGCAGAAACTGCGATCACTTGCAAATCAATCTGAAACAAGAGAAATAAACGCGATGCGATTTTATTAATTTAAATATTGACGAGACATCTTGAAAAAAAAGCAATCACAAATAGGAATAAATTATGATTGTTGATTATGTTTGTGACACACACATTTTAAAACTGTGCATATACGAATAACAAGTAGATAGTACAATTTAGCAGAACAAAAAATTTTTTTTAATAACACTAATAATCGTAGACAAAATCCTTTCTAATTATTACTTTCTAAAGCTTCTGTTCAATTATTAACATGGTGATAGTGTAATTTATTAAAATAGGATCCTCTGAGTATTTCAATGTTGGAATGACTGTTTGTCAAGCAAAAGATATCCGGGTTTAATTTTTGGAGATTTGTTGCTATTCTACATATACTACATTAGAAATTTTTTATGAAAAAAATATTGAGCGAAACAGACAGTTTATTAAAATCCTGCGGTACTTACGATAGGTGAGCCCAGTTCGCCATGGAAAATATCGAGCATAACCGGTGCCAAGAGAGCTTCCGCAGCTCGTTCACCTGCAACTTCCACAGTCTTCAATTTCAATGCCATCATGTTTTCACACATGATTTGTGAAAGTACAGTGAGTGCGTGCACTTTTCCTCTCGTTGGATCCTCTACCAGGCTATGCAAATTTTCATAAGGCACAAAAGTGTACCGTTCGTGTTTAGGATCGGCTTGAGTCTGCTGTCGTCGAGGTGCCAAGGAAGATTTCAATCCTCTGAGCTCGATGCCACCCGATTGAACAATATCGATATTCTTGTAGTGATACACCGGCAACCCATCATCTTCTGGTAATTCTTTTAATAGTCGGTTGTGAAGAATGGGGTCGATTGCAACATATTGGATACGCGACGGTAAATACAGTAGCTTGTGGCTGATGGACAATACGCCGAACTGAAGCATAGTATCTATATACGGAATCCATTGGTTGAACCAGTACAGTTCGCCGGCAGTAGCATAATTATCGCAAGATTTGATTCCTTGGAAGATATCGCGATACTCGTATCCACGTAGTCTCAATTCCTTATAAATGTCCTTAGTGTTCAAAGGCAAAGTCTCTTCGTCAGTAGGCGGTATTGGTGGTGGCGGTAATTTCAGTTGATCTTTCTCGATAGTCTCAGACGCACGGACGTTTCCGCTGACAACGATAGTACCGGCCTCGCAGATTTCAAAGTCTCCCGTTCCCTCGAAGATAGTTATCGAAAATTTCACCGTTCCCTCCTTCGGCATGATGGTAGCTCGTTGAAAACGCACATTCTCGAACACCACTGGCAATCGTTCAAAGTCGGTGCCTCGCAGTTTCGCCAAAGTTTTCCACGCCAACAGAATGTAGCCAGTAGCTGGGAAAAGGATTCGTCCATCTATTTGATGTCCCACTAGATACGCGTCTGTTTCTTTCGACAGATCTATTTGGACGGTGCACTCTCCCGAGTGGCCCGATGTCTTTTTAAAAACAGCAACATCCCACGCGGTAGAGTGATCCCACCTGACTAGTGACCCGATCATCGGTGTTCCACGACCTACAGGAAAACTTATTTGCGGATATAATTTGGAAATGTCAGGTTGCGCACCAGCCATATACAGCTTGCCCACGTTAGATAGCAGAAAAGCTAAGTTGTCTGAATGATCCCGCTTATGGAGACTGATATTGGTCACCGTTGATGGTAACGATCTGCGCAAAATTGCTTGTAGCAGGCAATGTGGCGCGATCTCGATTGTTATCGCATTTTCTGGAATATGCGTGATTGCCTCCTGGAAGAGTACAGGAGACAGCAAATTGTTCACGTGATACGCTGATGAGCTAAACTGCGCGAGCGGACTGCCCCATGCGGTCTCCGGTACGGAGCTAGAAATCCACCTAGACGATCTCTGTTTCGGGTTTAGTATGATTTTATCAAGTGAGGCACGTAATTTGGGTCCAGCCGAAGCTATGTATTTACTGTGGAAGGCGAAGCCGGAACTTTTCACTATTTTGACGAAGATATCTTTACTTTTCAACGTTTGTACGAACTTTTGCAGAGACGCAACTGGACCGGAAATAGTGACCGAATTCGCGGAGTTGTGACAAGCTGGAATGATATCGGATGGGCACATTTTTTTTGCCTCCTCCCAGCTCAAACCAACTGCTGCCATGGCGCCCGGTTCCAAATTGGACTCTACAATCGCTTTACCCCTACAGTAAGCCGCTAAGACAGTTTGCTCCGGTGTAAACGCGCCATCAGCATAAGCGCAACCCAATTCTCCAACGGAGTGTCCGACTATACCGTCCGGATATATGTCTATCGATGTTAAAATATCCACGAGAGCAACCTGCATAGCCGCGATAGACACGAAAGAATCCGTCACGGTCTCGTATGTTTCGTCCGTGGCGTTTATGATGATATTCATCAGGTCGATACCATAGGGCGCTAACGCATCCGCGCATCGTCGTAAACTACGTTGAAAAGTTTCAATTCCGAACAGTTGACGAGCCATGCCTGGCCATTGCGTGCCCATGCCGGAAAATACGAACCAAATGGGGCGCTTCTCGTTGTAGTGCACTACCTCGTTCACTTCACGTGTGTCATCGACATTAAGTATCTCGTAGCCTCGAAAACGATGGCCAGGGACGTCGTTATTGTGCATTACGTGTAACAGCGAGAGAAACTCATCGTCTTTACTATGCTCTTTTGCTTTATTCAATAAGGTGTGAACAGCTTCTTCCGTTCGACCTGATACAGCAATCAATTTGGGCAACAGTTCGATGATGTTCAATAACGGTGATAATTTTGGTTTTGGATTACTGCGCAGAATGATGTGCACGTTCGCGCCGCCGAAGCCGAACGAATTGACACCCACGAGACCACCGTTCCATGGTGTGGCCTTGTCAATCACTCGAATGCGTCCCTCGTTTAAAGCAGGAATATTCGGATTGGGAATATTGAAGTGTAAATTCGCGGGTATTACGCCCGCTTCCATCGCGATCAGCACCTTGGCGATCGAGCATAGTCCGCTGGCGGGTTCTGAATGACCCATATTGGATTTGACCGAGCCAATCAGCAAGGGAGTTTTTCTGCCTTTGCAGAATAATTTGTCGAGAGAATTGATCTCCTCTGGATCACCTACTTTAGTACCAGTACCATGCGTCTCCACGTAACTCACATCTGCGGGATTAAGTCCCACTTCGTTGTACATCTCGCGCATCAATTGATTCTGCATTTCACCATTGGGATACGTGATACCCTGGGATTTATAGCCGTCGGTGTTTGTTTTCGTGTGAATCACCGTAGCATACACTCTGCGCGCATCTTTTGCTTTTTGCAAATATATCGCCACTATCGCCTCGGATCTCACGTAACCGTTACCCGAAGCGTCGAATGCTTTGCATTTGCCATCTTGAGCCAGCATACTCAGTTTGTGAAATTGAAGCGAAAACTCCGGTCTTAATACGAGATTCAGTCCACCGACGATTGCAGCATCGCACTGGCCGGCGCGCATTGCAGTGACTGCCTGATGCATGCCGTACATGGCTGAAGAACAAGCCGTGTCTACCGCGTAACTAGGTCCATTGAAGTCAAAAGAGAAGGAGATTCTATTGGCGAACATCGATTTGGAGCACCCGAGCAATCCATATCCTACAAATACAATCGGTTTAATCTCAGTGGATATCGTATCATTTTCTCTCACGCCATAATAAATATTTATAACAAGTAAAAAAATATAAACTTATAAACAACAACTATTCACATGTAAAATCGTGCGTCCGTATTATAATAATTTTTTTTTAGTTTTTTTCTCAAATTTAAACTGAAACTTGTGCGCGAACTATCTTGTGTTAAATTGTTCGCGGTAGAGAGTAAAAATTAAAATAATTGATAAGATATTCAGCAAAATTTTTCATAATATACAAACCGTTTATTTCGTCCACGTTTTTCATCCAAAACTCATCTGATTCTGAAGAAGAGACACCGATAAACACACCAGTGCGCGATCCTCTTATGGTTGAGGGATTGACGCCAGCGTCAACTATCGCCTCGTACGTAACTTCTAACAGCATGCGAAGCTGCGGGTCCATTACATGTGCCTGCTTGGGATGTACCCCGAAAAAAGAGGCATCAAAGCTGCTGAGGTCCTTGATCTTGGCAGATCTAGTCGGTAGCCCATAGATACCCGATGACCAACGGCGCTCGTCATCAGTGACCATGTCCATTTCTTTCATCAGATTCTCCTTAAACTCCTCGATATTGGACGACTCGGGCAGACGACCTGGAAAAACGTTCATCCAACCGATGCGTTATGCTCTCATAACGATCCGCCTAGTCGTGTCGTGATCATGCAACCGATATTTACCCGATATGCCCGTAATGACGATGTCACTATCAACGGAATACGACACTCCATTTCCGATCACGGACTCTCGCGTCATTGGACTGTTGACACTTTCGAACTGAGCAGGCATCTTGCCGAAGATTCAAACTTTTCTCCCTCTGGATTCCTATCTGTAAAGATAGAATTAATCAATTTGATTTCAACGCAGTTCGTTAGACTACAAGTGTGATATATATGTCAAGTACATACATATCATATTTAGTGATTCAAGATTGAATTATTTAAGCATTTAAGATCTAGCTTCGACCGATATAGGGCTCTAATTTGTCGATTGTGTTTCTCACATATACAGCCTAAAAATGAGATTATTATTGTTTATTCGTCGCCCGAAAAAGACGTTGTTTCCTTACATATATCGATTATTGCGAAGAATATTACTAAGGCTTCGGTAATCTAATGGCTCAGGACGCTCGTACGGAATACAAGAGATTCGGGTTCGACTCTCGGTTGAGGTAATATTTTTCGCAATAAGTTTAATTACAGTTTTTTCAGCATATTAACATCTTTGAAATATGATGCCTATTTGAGCATCGAAATTATTAGAATTTTAATTTAATTCGTGAAATTACTACAGTGGTTTAATTGTGTTTAGTCCGGAAATATTTCGGCGCGCAGTTCGTTAGACTACAAGTGTGGTATATATGTCAAGTACATATATACTATATATATATTTAGTGATTCAAGATTGAATTATTTAAGCATTTAAGATAGCTTCAATCGATAAAGGGCTCTAATTTATCGATTGTGTTTCTCACATATACGGTCTAAAAATGAGATTATTAATCAATTTGAATTATTACGTTTTTCAACAAATCTAATTGATCTACGGCGTAGAACATATATTTAAAGCATATTTATATAAACGATAGATCTTTTTCAGTAATTTTTGCAGTTACTTAAGAAATAAGAACATATCATAAAAACATATAGAAGAACATATCATTAAATAAAAATATTCTTTTTTACTTGAAAAAAAAAAAGTTTTTCTTAATTACTGATTTGTCATTAATTTTGATCGCGTTTTCTCAAATTTAAGAGAAGACGTTGAAATCAATATAATTTTGCAATCAATTAAATTTATAAAATGTTATCAACAAATATATTTCGAGAAAACTTTATGTCATTCCAATTCTAGAAATAAACGTAGGAATCATTTACGTTTATCTGTCACGCCCTGGAATCTCGTTCAACCGTCTCTTTGAGACGGTTGAACACGAGGCGATTACTACACGCGATTATCTTCAATTGACATATAAAATACTTAATTGAGTAATCTCAATAGAGTTTCTGGATAAACCAACTTTGCTTGACGAATGTTCGTAGAATCGTCGCTCTTTTTTCGAAAAATCAATTTTCTTTCTCAAAAAGTTATTTATAGTTCTCTGTCTCTCTCTCTCTCTCTCGTGCATATTATTGCACGAATGATGACTCATGTCTAGTTAGTAGTTGAAGATACATTATTGTAATAATATAGGAGAATAATGGTCTATTTCATTTTCAAATATTGAAGTGTCACACTTTGCAAGTCGTATTTCGACATATTGTATAAATTATTTACGTTCCGATAATATTACCTTTTTTATTATTTTTATACGAAATCATGCAAAACAGATCAATGTATTTCGAATGAGATACAAAAATATCCAGCCAAACGTTTACGAAAATTTATCTCAAACGTGCTTCTTCGAATTATCCCGATAAGAGGAATTATGGTATACCATATTACCATAACATGCGATACGATGTTAAAGATGATTACGATATTTGTTACATCTATCTCATATTCCAGAATGTGTTACTGTCGATACAACACGTAGTTTCAGAAATCAGCAAATGTCACGCGTACGTATAATTTATGAAAACTTTTTAATTGTAAGCTCGTTTTTCGGCAAATATTTCTCATTTTATATACTTAGTTGCTTCTGCGTCGTACTTATATCTCGATATCTCGACGTGAGACTATCCATCTGTAAATACATTAAGTTTGCAGTCAATCCGTTGTCTAGGAATTCGCATCGAACTCACGATAAGATTCGGTTTATCCGAACACTATCACGCGACGTTGAATACTGTTCAACAAAAAGTTGAGCCTTGAAAACGACGTTCTGGAAAAACACGACACCATTGCAACATAAAATAAACTTGCATTTTCATTGCTATATTTTTCATTGCTATATTTTATTTAGTCGTTTTGATAAAAATAGTGGTTACGCCACTATTAACTTGTAATTAAGTTTATAGTTAGCACTGCCACCGGAAAAAAAGTACGTATAATAAAAACATATTTCTTTAATGTAATTCAGTTAATTAGTTGCTTGATATTTTTTTTACCAAGTTAATCTAACATTCTTAATGCAGAAAAACATTCCCCAACCACCACACATTCTGCACTAATACAATACTTTAAAATATTAATTTCATCCAATATCTCAATAGATTGCTATTTTTATTGAATCAAGCAAAATAATAAAATCACGAATAAGACAACAAGAAAGCAGAAAATTAGTAAGTTTTGTTCGTTTGTGCCGTAATATGTTAACTTAATAGACATAAGTTCAAATCGGAAGGTCGATTGCATTATCACGTTGTCGCGATGTGAACAACTAGCGAACGATGCGCATATAATCGCGAATTCAATTCAATTCAATTCGATTCAATTTTCTCTGTCGCGATTATTATGCGTACGTTATGTCGCGTGTCTACTAATTATTAAACGTTTGTGACGCGGTGGTATGTAAATATCTAAAGACAATGGGGGTTTTCCAAAAGTTCGAGCTACCTTCTGAAACATTCCGCCTCTAGATGCGGGTGAATATAATACTTGATCTTCAAAATATACCGTCATCGACGGTGTTATAACGCGTTAACGAATATCGCGCGAGTCTCGTAAAAGAACAGGTAAATAAGCATTTATAATTATTCACGCATTTGCTATTTTACGCAGCAATTACTCTTTTTCATTTTAAAATGAAAATTCAAATTGAAAGAGATAATAATAAATAAGTTTTTCGAGACAAATTTATTATGACAAACTTGATTAAGAAATTCACATTTTATAATTTTAAAACACGAATAACATAATTACCATATATATATACATACGGCGTATATATATATGTATATATATGTATATATGGGTTTTTTTAAATTTATCTACCAAATCTACATCGTTGATGTGGTGACTCTGTCTCATTTTTATCGGAATTATAAGTATCTAAACTCAATTTTCAAGGTCACGCAGTTCGATAAGAAATTGTGATAAGTCGTCTTTTTATCGTACTTGCCTTGTACTTGATATTAATTTGATATTATTCGCACGAGCACTCTTCACTCACACGTCTGTACAATAATATAAAATAATAAGTACTCTATTTTTTTTCAGACACGAATAAAAATATAATTTGTAGCATATTGTGCTAAGTATATACTATTACTTAAGTAATATTTTGTGTGTGTGTGTGTGTGTGTGTGTGTGTGTGTGTGTGTG